ACTGAAGAGTACAGCAGGCTTTAACACCAGTTGCCTTGCATATGCACATACAAGTATCCAGATGTTCAGTAATGCTATGCATTTCAGTTAAATGTGCAGTTTATTTTTGGTAAGACCACAGCAGTTGTTTTTAGAACAACATAATGATGCACGCTGAACTTATGGGAATGTTCTTTGTCTTTGTTCATCTTCGTATTGTCTACAGATTCTAAATTGGTCCTCATCAGGATGCCATCCCCAACATCTGTAACATCTGGTTTGAATTCTCTCCCATAACCTCAAAAGATCTGCATGTTCTGCAGCACTTGGTTTAGCGGTTTGGGGTTTTCATTTATTCATTTAGTCATGAATACGTCCTCCCATCCTGCATGTTGCTAAGAGTTTGCCTTGGCATAAGTAGATCAAAGGAGGACATTTTGTACTTGGACCTAAAGGTGAAGGTTTGTGATGGTAATTAGCACCTGTGAAAATTCCAATTTAAATGAGGCTGAGTAAGGCTTTAATCCTGACTAGGCTTTATGGTGGTTGTTACTCTTCCCCAGATGGCCTCCTGCTAATGCAGTCCCAAATGCTGGCACCATCCCATCCTTTTTTGTGGTTCAGATAGTCTGAATCAATTCTACTTTGTGTCTTTATAATAACGGCTGCAACCTGGATAGGAATCAAACTACTTGGATTAAATCCAGTCCTGTTCTTCTGTTCAAGCAAGGGCTTTGTTTGTTTCTGGGTTGAATTTGATTTTGGTTCCAGCAGAGGTGGTTTCAGCAAACTCCTCTTTTTCACTGCAGCTCTCACATCTATCAAAATCTGCTTAACAGGGTTGGTTGTTTCTTTGGAAAAATAGAGATGTGGTACTTGAGGATAGAAGAGTTAGGTGGAATTTCAACTACTTCCAATTTTATAGATGCCTGCTGGATCTTACAACCTCATGTGAATGGAAGAACAACAGGACTGAATGCAACTCTAGTGGAAATAGATTCTTATGATGTGTGGGTATGTGGGGGGGGGGGGCTTAAAAGATGTATAATCAACTTTTTCATTACTGAATGATGATTCAACATTCATTTTGCCAGACATGTGTATCTTTCTTGCTGACCAATAATTATTAGAGGTCTATCAATAATCCTGTGTGTACTTGCTTAGTAGTAAGTCAGATCAGACAGATTTGTCATGATGTGATGGGAAGCCCTATTACATCATCGGAATTGGGTTGCTGTGAGTGTTCTGGGCTGCATGGCCATGCTCCAGAAGCATTTTCTCCTGACATTTTGCCCACATCTATGGCAGGCATCTTCAGAGGTTGTCAGGCCTTTTGGATACTAGGCAAGTGAGCTTTATATATATATGGAATGTTCAGGGCTGGATGCCTGCTATAGATGTGGGTGAAATGTCAGGAGAGAATGCTTCTGGAGCATGGTCATACAGCCCGGAAAACTCACAGCAACCTAGTGATTCTGGCCATGTAAGCCTTTGACAATACGCCATCGGAATTCTTTGTTTATAACTCTTTATGCTAAACAACAGTAAACCATGTGTTTCTTGAAGGTTTCATGTAGGTCAGTGGTTCTCAACCTGTGGGTCCCCAGATGTTTTGGCATTCAACTTCCAGAAATCCTAAACGCTAGTAAATTGGCTGGGATTTCTGGGAGTTGTAGCCCAAAACACCTGGGGACCCACAGATTGAGAACCACTGATGTAGGTGCATTTTAAAATGTACGTATACAATATTTTATTAATATATTTTTCTAAACTGTTAGAGAACCCTTTGTTATGTATAAGTAATTCAAGTCCCCAAAGCATTAGCCAGCATGTCCAATGATAAGGTATGATGGGAATCTTCAATCTGGAGAATCCCCTATGCTGCTTTTGAAACATAATGCATGCATTAAATTGCATTAAGAATAGACCCGCATTAGTAGTTCATCATAGATTGCGCTGTTTTTAAACAAAAATGAATATTGAAAGGCACATACCAACTGGTGTCCAATCCATCCTAAGTGTCCCTCATTCTCATCAATGCATAGAGTGAAGGCTGGGTGAGCCATGCAATTTGTAACTTTTTTTCTATAGGACAATTATTTTGTTTTTTTATGGGACATCTTTGATAAAAACAAATATAGGAAGTCCTCTAATTAACATATGATAGAGAAAGAGGAGAGAGGGAAGGGCAAGAATGCAGTTCAAAGTGCTGAAAAATGCAGTTCAAAGTGAAGCACAGCTTATTGTGAGATAGTTTTATTGATACTGCTCTACATGGGTCTCTAACAGGTTAGCTGAAGAAAAGAATGAAGCCTGGGAATAGTATGTGCTTCATTCACTGTGCATCAATAAAGTACATGGCCTCTGCTGAAAGCAGGATAGAATACTACTGTTCATGCTTCTCATAATCCCTGCACCCAGTGAACCATAGAATACATTGTTTGGGCCCCATTATCTAATGGGGAACATCGTATCGGTTGATCTTTTCAGTCTTCTTGTAGGGATGGATTCCAATATGAAATTCCAGAGTTTTACTATTAAGGCCGACCAAGGGCAAGATGGATGGATGGCATCCTTGAAGTGACTGGATTGACCTTGAAGGAGCTGGGGGTGGTGATGGCTGACAGGGAGCTCTGGCGTGGACTGGGCCATGAGGTCAAGAAGATTCGGAAACAGCCAGATCTCTCTCGATGTCCCTCTAATTTGGCTAGCTTCGTTAGGAGAGAACCAAAGCGGTGTTTTTTGGTAGAGTTTTGTTTTGTATCTCTCCCAGATTTGAATGAGAGGATCTCGTACAAAATGGTTTCTGAAATTACTCTCTCCTTTTATTTTTCCCCTCCATAAGTAATTGTGCCAGCCCTGCATTAAATCGAAACTTTCCAGGGCAGACCTACTCGGAAGTTTTTACCCTTTCACCTACCCTTGCACTTTCCCACACCCCACCTTCTCCTGTTGGAAAGAATGCTGAGACTGGACATAAGATGTAGAAGTGAGTGAATGAACACCAATTCCCCCCTCCCTTCCCCCCGTGTGTGGATGGAATTCCTTCCCCTCCCCTTCTTCTACCCCCACTTCTTCCCCCTCCCCTCATGCACCCCCAATATTTTTATGTGTATTTAAAAGCTTAATAAAGACATTCTTAAAAAAAAGATCCTCCAAATCCAAGAAGATTCGGAAACAACTGACCGAATGAACAACAAACTATTATGTCTGTATGCTACATTAAGAACAGCAATGTTTCACAGAAAAAAATACTGCACAACAAAAGTGCTGTGGAAATTCATAGCTATTTTTCTGCAACATTGCTGATTTTGTGTAAAATTTTGTGTAAATTTTTTTCATGCAATAATTCCTTTTTAAAAAAATCTCACAGAATACAGTTTTTAATTTCAACAGAAAGGTGTTGAGTCAAAATTGGTTCCAAATCACGTCACCACCCAAAGAGGAGTCCAAAGTGTTCTTTTAAGAAGTATTTAAAATACTTGATAGATCAATTCAAAAATTCTGTACTGTTTTGATTCCTTTAAACAGCACGCAGGCATGTTGACTCTATGTTCAAGCACATGGATTTATACATCGTAAGAGAGAGAGAGAGAGAGAGAGAGACTTTAAAATATAATATAGATATATAAGATGTGTGAATTAGCGGAAATGGACTAACTCACGATGTTGATTAAGGAGATATTGGTAATCAATACTAAGAAAACCTGGAACTTATTTATTACCTTCCTTCCACAAAGATTGAGTCAAACCTCTATTATGGGTTTGTTGAATTAAAGAGTGTCATCTAATGGGGATTAAATGTATTAATAGTTTTTCTTCTTTTATTGGAGTAAAAAAATGAGAAAATAAAACTACCAGGCAGAGAGTGTAAAGCCCTTGGATTAGGCAATGTAGATACTAGTACACTGCTCTGCACCTCAACCACTTTCCTGGCCTTATGACATGTTGTTTGCACTATCCCTCGCCCAGCCCTTTTATAGTTTATCACATCTATTTTAGTACTCCTGTCATTGGTATTGTTGAACCTCACCTGATGGAGCTCTGATGTAATTGGTTTTATATATTTATTTTAGTGTGTTTTATCAGGTTTTTGTATTTTATGTTTTTATATTTTTTTGCTATTTTATTTACTAAGTTACAGTTGTTTGTTCTATACTGTTTAATGTGCCTTGTCTTGATGTAAATTGTTTGTATGGTTTTCCTTTTGCATTGAATGTTTGCCGTATTCATTGGAAACTGCCCTGAGTGTCTTTAGGGAGATAGGGCGGCCTATAAATATTATTATTATTATTATTATTATTATTATTATTACTATTATATTTGTGTGTAGTTAATGTTGTGCGTGTGTGTGGGGTGGGGACTTCTAGGGATGTAATAGTATGTTATTTATATTAAGAAAATGTATCTTTACTGTTCTTGTATTTTGTTTTATGGTTTATGTTCTTGCTTTTTTGTCTGTTTGTAGGTTTGGTGTTAAGCTTTTCTGAATAAAAATGATCAAAAATATATAATATTGATTTTTCTTTGTGTGGAGATGTTTTTCTTTGACATGCCATACGCCTTAGGAAGTACAAATGCTTGGTTTGGGGCTTTCCGCTTCTGTAGGCTTGTCATTAGAACGTCATGCTTTGTAGTTATTTCTGCCTTGTGGCCAACACACATTTGAGAACTATGAGTGTTTTGGGTTGTAGATTAATCTGCTTCTGTTTCTGCACAGCTCTGATACATTAGTTCCTTCTGCAGGTCCTCTGCTGCATTTCTAGTTTCAAAGACCAAGGGTGCCATAGCCTGGCACTAGGCATTTCTGCTGAACATGAATGAAGGCTCCATGTATGAGGTAGATAAACCTGACCAAAATCTCTAAACAACCATCCGAAACAGATGTGCAGTGCTTGTTACTGCATACCCAACTCTTTTTACAAATTCAAAAGAAAGAAGTAGCAATTTGAAATTTCAGCCTATTAAGCTGGCTATTGAGCATGTATGCAAATAAAATTTTAAACAAATAGTTTACTTACATCCTTATAGGATTTCTTTTCCTCAACTAGTGGGTGCCAGTGTGCAATCGGTTTGCGTGGGTAAGCCAGCATTTCATTCCAGTGGTCTCGCCCTAGCCCTTCAGCACTGTTTGCTACACGACAAACTCCAATGATTTCATTATGGCCAACTCTGAAAGCAATAATAACATGTGGTACAAGTTTAAGAGACATTTGTAGCTCCTTTGCAACCTGAACCATTTAATCTCTTCCTCCTTTTTCTTTCACTTCTTCTTCCATCCCTCTTGCAGTTGTTTCAGTTTGATAGGATTCTAATTAATCCCCTGCTGTTCCATCTTTTCAGCTGATTTTTAAAATGTCCAATTTTTATGTTCCTCCCACCTTTCCTCTTCATCCTCAATTTACTTCTATTGGTACAAACAGAGTTCAAAGTACAAAAGTAGTTTGCACTCAACAATGAAGCAAACTGCTGTAGCCTCTCTTAATCTATGGGTTCTTCTCCATTCATAACTTTTGCCATCTTGACCACACACTGATGTTGTGTGGTTGTATGTGTCATGGTTTTCCTCTATGAGATATTGGAGGTACACTCTTGCTTAAGCTGCATCTAGCTGCTAAACATATTCCACATTGCTTCTGGTTTTGGAACACTGACTCTTCCTTGTTCTGTCTCTCTGGGCTCTTAATGACTTGTGATGCCTAAGCGGCTGTCATAGCCATGCATTTTCTCACCCTGATTTATTTTTAGTCATTTGCAATATACAACAGGTTCCCTGTGCACAGTCAGAACAACCAATCATTGTCTCCTTTTACAGATGTTCTGTATCTGTAACATCTGCATAACAGGCTCTCTGGGGGTAAACTATTCTATCATTGCATATCCTTCGTGGTGATGCTGAGGGGCACCTGTTGATTTTCTGCCTGTTACTGAGGACCAGTGAACACATTCCAAGGGAGATAATAGCAGCCATTAACTTATCCTTTCTTTTCATAGCTCCTTTAACTAAACATTTAGTTTAAAATGCTGGATGTGACATAATTATCTGATCCCCAGATGTTTTCCTGTGTCTTACAATCTGCAAATAGTAGCCAATGAAATGGAGTAACTTGGCAGGGAAATTCTGAGCATGACTAGATATGATGATAGACCAGTACCCTCTTTTGCTATCTTTCAGCTGAGAGAGATTTTTTTTTTATTTCACCAGGTCTTGGAATACTGATTGCTCAAAAGGAATGTCCCTTGGATGATGTGCTGGATTTTTCTATTTGCTGTTTTATTTTTAATGTTTTCAAACCACAAGAAAATAGATTCCACCTAAATAACATATGTTTGATAATTGAATGTGCTGCTTTAGAGGTTTTTTTAAACAGAGGCTGGAAGGCCATTTGTCAGGAGTGATTTAATTGTGTAGTCCTGCATGTCAGGAAGTTAGGCTGGATTACCCTTGTGATCTCTTCCAACTCTAGGATTGTAAGATAATAATAATAATAATAATAATAATAATAATAATAATAATATTTAACATCACAGACTGACTAGCAATTGTTAACAAGGAAAATGCATGATTTGGGTCAAAGAGAGCTAGATGTAACCTGTGTTCTTGGTCCATGCTGTTAAAAGCACAGTTCCTCTGCTGAGAATATAGACATTAGAACTTCGCAGAACTCACCAATTGCATGTTTTTTTGGCATTTAATTGAACTGTAGCATATACAATGCTATATTCAGGGCACTGAAATCCGAGTTTTTAAAAAGTAGGCAACCTGATTTTTCTTGCCTGGCTGATAAACAGATTGGAATGAGGTTACCTTTTGGATGACTCACTTTTCTGAATTGTAAATAATTAAATGAACTGAAATTGATAGAGAAATGTGTGCCTTAGGGTAAAATATACTAAAATGAATATTTTACGATAAAATGCATATAAAATATGTAAGTGAATAAGCAATTAAATGCAAAATAGAGCATGTAGGTGCTAAACATTTATAGCTGGCATTGTCGATCATATCCTACGTACAAATTTCTATAGGTTTGTGCACAGCTTAAAGCTCAGGTAGCATCAATTCAGAGAATCTGGCTATGCTTCTGTTCCAAATGCAATAGGAATTCAGAAAACAACTCAAAGCCCAGCTTAGTGTATCTAGTGACATGATGTGTCTTAAACAGAAGCTAGTCATGTAATCAAATGAGTCACACCATGGTATTTAACAGGGACATTGGGAAAATGGCCCCAATGTGATTTAGGTTTTGCAGGGACATCCACTTACCGGTCATAATCCATAACAGAGATAAGCAGACTGACTTGGTCCATGTTCTCTGGAGGGATATCAAAGATTATTGCCTCATTATAGGTGGGATTAAGTGTGTTTCGCTTTATGGTGGTTTTCTTCTTTTTCAGCCTCCTCCCATCACAGAGTAAAGACACTTTGACATAAGGATCTGAAAGCAGCAGAAAAGGAAAATGACAGTACAGAGAAAACACTTTCTTTTCTCTAAATGTTTGCAGGAGAGTCAACCATCACATGGAATACTGAAGCTGTGGATGGAGCAAGCAGGATCTGGGTGGCAAGGTGCACATTTTATTTGCTCTAGTCTGCTTACAGCCAACATGTGTGTACTTAGTGGCAGACCTCCCACCTACAACTTATAACTCTCACAATCTCCCAGGCAGTTTGTAAATTTATTCCAAAAATAACTTTTCTAAGCTCTGCTACAGTTCTAGAACTTGTAAGCATTCGTACTAGAACCCTGAAAAACAAAGTTTCTGATGGTGTGGACATAGGCTCCAGGAATTCAGTCTGTGTCAGGAAAACAGGAGAGTTGATCAAACTACTCCATAACAGTTTCTATTCCTTGCTCTTTATTGTTATTATTGCCATCAAGTCAGGTTTCATACATGGCAGGCCAAAGAAAGAGAGACCTCCAGGAGGCCCTCTTATTAAGAGCTCTACTCAGGTCTTCCAAACTCAGGGTTGTGCCTCCCTTGATTGAGTCAATGCATCTGCAATGGGATTTCCTCTTTTCCAACTAGCTTCTGCTTTATGGAGCATTATTGTCTTTTCCAGTGAGTCTTTTATCATCTCAAAATGTGTTCAAAGTACATTTTAGTTTAGTTTAGTCATTTTGGCTTCCAGTGAAAGCTCTGGCTTGATTTAATCTATGGACCATGTATCTGGCAGCCTGTGATATCTTTTTGGCAGTCCATGATAGCTGCAGAATTCTCCTCCAGCACCAAAGGAATTGATTTTCTCCCTGTCAGCTTTCCTCTCTGAATAATAATCCTATAGTAATACCAAGCTCAATTTCTGAGTGACATGACCATGCAGTCCAACCAGCAGCATTGACAAGAAGGTACTTGTAATCTAGGGATTGAAGACATATAGTTCCTTCTCTACAACAGTCATAGAATCATAGAGTTGGAAGAGACCTCATGAGCCATCCAGTCCAACCCCCTGCCAAGAAGCAGGAAAATCACATTCCAAGTGTCCTGTGGGGAATAACTAACAAGTGAAAGCTGCTTGTTGTAGGGAGTGAAAAAATGGTGGTGAAGAATGAACCGAGTATCCTGGAAGGGAGATGGAAGACTGGATGAAATTCTGCACATCAGTGCACCACACTATACATTTTGTGGTAGCTCCCCCTGTAACATTCCAATAGTAAATGTTTTCTCAGATATTCTACACTTATAATTGTTTTTCCGAGTTGTAGCCACACTCTATTCAGTTACACTGTAGAACAGAAACATCTGGATTAGTTTAAAGACCATTTGGCTGGGTGAAGGTGAATCAGCTACCCATCAGTCCAGAGACCTTTTCTTGGAAGAGGAGAGTAATAACTTTCTGCCTTCCCAGCAAATTGCTTCTTCTCCTGTAAAGGCTTCTATAACTGTTTCTGTACTTGTTGATTTTGTTCATTGTTACATTAGCATTTCTCTAATGGGATGCAGATGTCCTTCATTTATAAACCTATCCTCCAGCACTGTTTGTACATATACATTGCACATCATTTTCCTTTCCCATTCTATATGCCTGTGAACTAGTTTCAAAAAAAGCAAGTACCATACTTTTAAAAACAAATCTGCTTCTTTTTTAGTCAAGTAAAAAAGATCGAAGGAAAAAATAGGACAGCAATGCCTTCCTAGTTGCCCCAGAGACTGACTTTAGCAAATTGCTCCTGAGTTTCCAGCCTAGCATGAATGATGTGTAGGCTGCCGGAGAAAATCACTGTGTATTTTGAAGTTCCAGTAACTAAACAGTGCATCACCTCAGAGCTACTGAGCTGTTTTCCTTCTGAACCATCAATTCTCAGTGGTTCAGACTGCATCATGTATTAGTTGCGCAGAAAGGCTTGTCTGCTCAAACAGCTTCACAGCTATTGGTGCTGTGGATTAAAATGTTTGTCAGCAAAATGCTGACACTGGCATGTAGAAGCTGGGGTCATTAAATGGAGCTCTTCTGACAGAAAGTCAAATATTATTTGCTCAAGAGTCCCCAAAGAGGAGGCAAATCTATAAGTTTTAAAACTTTCAGCTCGGTAAGTATGTTGCATGGGGTTAAAAACACAATCATGTGGACTCTTTATATCTAAGGGAGCTATTCAATGATTCTTAGGATCCTTGGGGTTATGGGCCTATAAAAAGATTGTTATCTGAAATTGGAGGAGGAGAAGGTCTGCCATGGGAGGCTTCCTTGTTCAGGGACCTGGAAGATGGGCTTATGGCCTTAGAATAAGGTAAAGGAAGGCTAGCCTATGTGTACATGCAGCTCCTAAGAACCACTATTGCCACTGAAGTTGGTTTGAGTTGGACTGATTTATGACATGAAAAGCATCTGTAGCATCACAGTACCACCTGTAAATGGGGAATTTGTCTGCCTTTTTCACTAACATCCACAACATCCTGCAAAACCTCTAAAAATAGCAAAAACTGGAGGAAAAATGATGCCCTGTTGTTTCTGGTGCCCTACCAATGCAATGGCATGGCCTGTAGAGGATATGCAGAGCATACATCATCCCTGTGCTCTTATCCACTCTGTCGCAGATGCTTATCAGCAAGCTTATGGAGACAGGTATGGATAGAAAAGGAAGAACGTGTAAACACAAGGGAGCTACCATGTCTCAAAATATAGGCTACACCAATTCAAGGAATTGAATCCTTTCTGTTTATTCATTCAATCAGAGTGGCAGAAGAATCCCAAGCCAGTACTGCCATCAGATCACCAAAAGCAGAAAAATGGGAAACGTGGTGATTTCTGGGAAGCCTAAGATGTCTAAGTGTCTGTAGTTTCTTCTCTGCCTACAAATCCACTAAATATTGTAGTGCCCACGATCTTCTGCCAAGAATTGCAATCTAAAATTTAACTACAATGTTATGTGAAATGGGCTTCTTTGGCTTCTTCTGGCATAATGTCTTCCCATAGTGAGTTATATCAGTGGAATGAATATCATAACACACTGGTCATGGAAATGACGAGATCTAAACTGAAAACCATTGGATTTTTATTTTTTTTAGGAAAGGTTTATCAACAAGAATGTATCCTTTATTTTTTAAAGTTGTATACTATGTAATTTTAGTTTCAATATAAACATTGAGAAAATGTGTTGTCGAAGGCTTTCATGGCTGGAATCACTAGGTTGCTGTGAGTTTTCTAGGCTGTATGGCCATGTTCCAGAAGCATTCTCTCCTGACTTTTCATCCATATCTATGGCAGGCATCCTCAGAGGTTGTGAAACTAGGCAAATGGGGTTTATATAGTTGTGGAATGTCCAGGGTAGGAGAAAGAACTCTTGTCTGTTTGAGGCCTTGCAGCTTCAAAGCCTGGCTGCTTCCTGCCTGGAGGAATCTAAAATTCTAAAATCAAGACAGTAGATAAAGAACAAAAGGGGGATACCAGACAGGAAAGAATTAGGGCCAATTAACACCTCCCAACAAAGGATTCCCTCAGGCAGGAAGCAGCCAGGCTTTGAAGCTGCAAGACCATTCAAGGCTAATCAAGGTGGCCAATTGCAACACTCACACTTGCTTCAAACAGACAAAAGGTCTTTCTCCCATTCTGGACATTCCACAGATATATAAACCTCACTTGCCTGGTTTCCAAAAGACTTCACAACCTCTGAGGGTGCCTGCAATAGATGTGGGTGAAATGTCAGGAGAGAATGCTTCTGGAGCATGGCCATACAGCCCAGAAAACTCACAGAAACCCATTCAGAAAATGATTGTTATGGAACCAGAATTTTGTTTACAGCTATCTGTGCTACTTCTGGAAGGTCATGTAATTTTGAAAAGGGCAAAAGATATGTTTCCTGGTGCTCAACGATGACTTCTAATTATATTACATCCTGCTTATAATATAATTTATACAGAATTTCTGACTTCACATTGCTCTAGTGACAAAGTTTTGGACAGCCATGCCACCAGAGTTTCCAAAAGCAATCTTTTAATCTCCTACCAAAATGTATTGAATGGCAATAGGATTATGTATGGCACTATTTTCTATTTAGGAGTGAAAAATAAAATGGTTGTTCCACATACAGTTTTGTTTTAATCAATGACTTTAGTGGCAAAACTGACAAATAAAGATGAATGTGTGAGACCTTTTCACCAAGTATTAGGAACAACAACATTGACATAGAAGCTAAAACAATTAAATAACAACACTGCCTTATTCCAAGCAAACACCTACCTGAGTAGCCAGTTATATCCATTGCTTTTAGATTCCTGCATTTAATGACTGTTAAAGTGAGACGACCTGCAGTTGGCAGATAACAAAGGGAAAACATGATCTCCCCCAGGTCCACACTTTCCTTGAACGAAAGAGAGAACAGTGTGCATTAGAAATAGGGAAAAAAAGCAAACTTAGCGGACTTTTGTGCTGCTTGTATTTTCTTAATATGTTTACCTCCCAGACCCGGCAAGGCAAGAATGGGCAAAATTTGCTCATCACTTCCTGCAACTCTGAACTTGCTCTGGTTGAGTAATTAAATGGTCTATAATTATTGGGTCATATACAAAATTGATGAATAGTATATCATAGATAGTGGACACAACACAATTCCGTTAACTGTATTCAAAATATTCTGCCATTTGTAGGGTGAAGATCTTTTTCTTGGCAGCTCAAGATACTTTCTAACTAAGGCTTCTACTGTGCAGGTCATTCACAAAATTGTGTGAGATACATATAAGGCCATATTTAATTTGTAATTCTCCTATGTTTACCACTCTTTCTTCCATTTTTTCCTTGTCTCACACAAAAAGTAGAATGCTTTTGCAATACCATCAACAATTTTCATATTTTTAAAGAGTTATTGTGGATTTCAGATATTGCATGTCCATTCAAATAGAAAACATTTGTAATCAGTGAACATATTCCTGGGAAGGAATCCCACTGGAGCATTGCAGCACATGAAAATACTTGGGAGGTACCCTGGACTGTGCTCTGGCCCACAAGAAGCACTGCTTGAATATCAAGCAAAAAGGGGGCCCTAGAAACAATATCATATGAAAGCTGATTGACACAACCTGGGGATCACAAACAGACACAGTGAAGACATCTGCCCTTGCGCTTTGCTACTCTGAGTGGCATGCCCATTGTGGAACACATCTCACCACGTTAAAACAGTGGATGTGGCTCTTAATGAGACATGCCACATTATCACAGGATATCTACACCCCACACTACTGGAGAAATTATACTGTTTAGCTGGTATTGCACCACCTGACATCCACCAGGAAGTAGCAACCAATAATGAAAAGGCCAGCCCATCCCCTGTTTGGATATCAGCAGGGGCAGCTCAACCCATTATGCAAAGTAAGCATTTGCAGTATAGTTGATTTTGCCCAGGGGCACTCTTGAGGTGCTCTTGGGGGAAAATAGACCTTGACATATGCGAGTTGTAGTTACTGGGATGTATAGCTCACCTACAATCAAAGAGCATTCTGAACTCCACCAATGATGGAATTGAACCAAATATGGAACACAGAACTCCCATGATGAACAGAATATATATATCAGTGATTGGTTGGGGGGGGGGGGCATGCCAAAATACTGTTTGTTTACCATTGAAAATTACCTAGGGCCGCCTCTGGATATCAGCCAGCATGCCAACACTTTAAATCAAGAAATAGTTTTCCAAGATCTACAGAGATACTCGCAGGAACACCTCAGCAAGCGAGAGTCCAAAAGTGGCAGGCTAAAACCCAGAACCGCAAGCCATGGCTAATACCAAATGAGAGACTCCCTCTTGGGCACACAGAAGACTGGGTGACTTGAAAGGCACTGAACAGACTGCACTCTGGCACCATGAGATGCAGAGCCAATCTTAAGAAATGGGGCCACAAAGTAGTGTCCGCAACATGTAAGTGTGGAGAAGAGCAAACCACAGACCATTTACTACAATGTTGTCTGAGCCCTGCCACATGCACAATGGAGGACCTTCTTATAGCAATACTAGAGGCATTCCAAGTGGCTGGCTACATTTAGTATAATGCCAAGTTTTTAAACTGTGTTTGTGTACTTAAATACATTACAACTGTACCCTCGGTTCACTCCTGATATGATAAATAAATAAGTGAACATATTTTAAATGAGTAAAGACACTATTAAGTGTTATATTTGTATAGAAATTAAAACTCCCCAGGTTTTATCACTCTCTCACCACTGTAATGGGCCTTAATAAGCACCAGATCCCACTTGATCTTGGAAGCGAAGTAGAGTCAGCCTTGGTTAATAACCTGGATAAGAGACTGCCAGTGAATACCATGTGCTATAGGCTATATTTCAGAGTAAGAAATTGGCAAAACTTACCTTTGGGTTTTCTTTGCTGTAGAAAACCAAATGAAGTTAATGTGGTTGTCATAAATTGACAAGAAACTTCAGGGAACATACACATGCACAGTCACTGAAACAAGAAACTCCAGTTGGAACCCAGTGCAAACCACACTTTCTTATTGAGTTTTGGGTACAACTATATCAAATCATGAACACTTTGGCTGGTTTGGATGAGAATGAGGATGTAGGCGGAGGGATGAACTTTCAACTGAACCAACATCCTAATGCAAATTTGAAATAGCATGTCATCTTCTTTTGTTTTCCTGTTTCCTTCTTGCAGAATAGATATAAGAAGTACATAATTACAGAGTAGAGAACAGGTTATTTTGTAATTGGCAGTGGCTAATTTGAGTTTTGAAATAATTTCCCTTGCCCACTATGGCTTCACCTATCTATTAGCCTGTCGAGTCTCTACCTGGTAAACGTGTGCTCTAACAATAACCTTTGCAGTGTTTTGGCTTTCTCCACCTCATCATTGTTCCTTTTCATCCTCCAGCTATGGAACAGTGTTGAACATCAGTTTCATGTGATATCAGGCTTAAAATAATCAGAATTAATTGGGGCTCTTCAACATGTCAGCATGGGTTGGCACTGAACCATGGTAACATTTAACCTTTGTTCTCTGGGGAATCTTTTTGCAGATTACTGACAAGGTCAGAATTGCCAAGTGTTGCAGTGACCTAATTTAACAAACTATCCATGAGATGACAGGCAGGGCATTCAAGCTGGGTTTCGTTGCGACTTCCTGCAGAATTCACCAACATTACATCTTAATATTTGGCTGTGTTTTATTAGGGAAGTTATTTGATGCAAGAACATCTGGACAGGATAGTTGTATTTCAGAATCCATTTTGAAAACAGGGGAAGAAATGTATTGTCGAAGGCATTCATGGCTAGAATCACTGGGTTGTTGTAGGTCTTTTCGGGCTATATGGCCATGCTCCAGAAGCATTCTCTCCTGACATTTTGCCCACATCTGTTGCACGCATCCTCAGAGGTTGTGAAGTCTGTGGGAGACTAGGAAAATTGGGTTTATATATCTGTGGAAGGTCCAGGGTGGGAGAAAGAACTTTTGGAGCCTTTTGGAGCTTGGTGTGAATGTTTTAACTGGCCACCTTGATTACCATTTGGTGGCCTGACAGTTTTTAAGTGTGGCTTGTTACCACCTGGGAAAATCCTTTGTTAAGAGGTTATTGTTTCTTGTCTGGAGTTCCCCTGTGTTTGAGTTTTGTTCTTTATGTACAATTATAATTTTAGAGTTTTTTAATACTGGTAGCCAGATTTTGTTCATTTTCACAGGGGAACTCCAGACAAGAAGCAATCAGGAACACCAAATCACTCGAGATACTTTATACGCATCATATTAATGTCACAACTATTGCAGATTATTTTCCAGTTTAGCAGAGAGATAAGAATGTAACGGACAATGGTTCATTGCACAAAAGCTCGCAATGGCCTTTAGCTTCCAGTTATTTCATAAGGCAAATCTTCAACCTTTCTGTGAGTCCTGTATGCTTCCCCTCATTGATCATATTAACAAGTGACACATGCAATGCAACAGAGGAGCTAAAGTGTATTTACCTTTGACATATGGCAGAGCACTTGTGAACTAATGATGCTGATTTTCAAGATGAAAAGTGCCAGGTCTCAAATCTGTCTGAGCTGTTTTGACACCTGAAACTCTTCTAAAAGATACCTATTTGAGAACATTCAAGATAAAAAATGGTGCAGAACATTTTCAGTGGCACTGATTTTATAGTTTTCCTGGGTTGAATCCTAATGCTTAGACCCACCTATCTGATCACTGGTTGAAATAAAGTTCCAATTGCCCAAAGTGACACAGTGGCTGACACAGAAGTGCTCAAATATATTATTTCTCCCAAGATTGCTGCTCAGTGCAGTGGTCATTAAAATGAACCAATCTTCATTTCTAAGAAAGGCTTCAATTAGTCAGTGGGTACCTCTGGTTTGTATGTCTATCTCTGTGGGGATATGAATGTGTATGTAAAAGAGTGTGTTTCTTCACACTATTGCTTACTTACAATATGATTACATGAAGCCTAAATTCTGGTTACACTACACAGGAGAGGTAAAAAAAAGAAGTCTTTCTCAAAAAACTTAAACCATAATTAAATATACTTTGGAGTGCGAGAGAAAGCCCCCAGTGGTGCAGTGGGTTAAACCCCTGTGCCGGCAGGACTGAAGACCGACAGGTCGCAGGTTCAAATCTGGGGAGAGCGCGGATGAGTTGCCTCTATCAGCTCCAGCTCCTCATGTGGAGACATGAGAGAAGCCTCCCACAAGGATGATAAAACATTAAAACATCCATGCATCCCCTGGGCAACGTCCTTGCAGACGGCCAATTCTCTCACACCAGAAGCGACTTGCAGTTTCGCAAGTTGCTCCTGACATGACCCTCCCCCCCCCCAAAAAAAAAGTGTGAGAGAAAATAGAGGTGGGGTACAGAGGCAGCAGCCACTGACCTGAACCCTGATCTCAAATTTTCAGAAATGATTATTACTGATCATATCACAGAGCACACCACAATTCAGTTAAAATTAATCTTTACGTAGTATGATAACTATTTTGCACTAAAATAAAAGCATAGATAACAAACAGCTGTGTGTTATATATAGTTGCAGCCCACTTAAAATGGAAGGGAAAAGGAAGAGGGGTCAAACAAGGTCAAGATGGATGAATTGTATCTTTGAAGTGACTGGCTTGACTCTGAAGGAGCTGGAGGAGGTGATGGCCGACAGGGAACTCTGGCATGGGCTGGTCCATGAGGTCATGAAGAGTCGGAAGCAACTGAACGAATAAACAACAAGAAGGGCAGAATGTGACTTTGTGAAGGGTCTTGGGATGAAGGAAATGACGTATTCCAAGAGCATAATTGTGGTCACTAGATGAAACATGATGCCCATGAATGTAGCAGCAACAGAAGGTGCTGTAACAGAACTTTTTGAGCTCCTGTAC